TCGGAGAGCATGTGAAGTCATGTCCAGATTGCAGCTCGAGTAATTGCCGTCCGCAGCTTCGTGGATACTCACCTGGCAAAGTACTAGCCGAACGACCTTTCCAGATCGTCTCGATGGATTTTGTGATCCCACTACCGAAATCTCGCAGGGGCAACACGGCGCTGCTCCTATTTCAGTGCTCGTTCACGGGATTCGTTATTGCCAAGGCTATGTCAGATACGACTGCATTGAGTGTTGCCCAAGTGTTCGAAGAATGTGTGTACAGACGATTCGGAGCCCCATCATTAATAAGGCATGACCGCGACCCACGCTTCATGAGCGAGGTTTTCCAAGCATTCGCAGAGATGATGCAGTCGAGATCAAGAGCGACTTTGAGCTATCGGCCACAGGCTAATGGACAGCAGGAACGCTCGGTGAAGTCGGTGATGGGATCCGTACGGGTGTACGCGGAAGACCCTCTACAGCAAGATTGGGACGAAATCGCGGAGAAGCTGGTATTTGCTATTAATACTTCTCAAGACACTACGAGGAAGGAGACGCCGTTCTACCTCGTTCACGGTTGGGATGCTCAGTCGACGCTGCGGGCAATGTCGTCATCACTCAAACAAGGGCTCGGCAAGCAGTCTGACGCACTAGCGTGGCGGCGTGAGATCAATCGACAACATGAGGTCGCCCTCACTATGGCCAAAGATTATCAGGCTGTAGAAAAGGAGCGACGAGCAAAAAAGCATAATGATGCTCTGAGTCGACTGGAAAAAGCCGCTGTACCTCAACCAAGTGGAAACGAACACTCGGCAGACCCTCTAGAAGCTTCAGAAGAGATGGAAGATCCTGCAAGAGCCCCACCGAGATCTCTTTTCGAGATTGGGAGCCGGGCGTGGTTGTACATGGAGCGCGTCAAACCGGGCTTGACGAAGAAATTAGCTCACCGATGGCATGGACCTTTTCGGATCAAGCGCAAGGTGGAAGAGTTTGCGTACGAGCTGGAACTGCCTGACCGAAGTGGGTATCGCTTCTACCCAGTAGTGCATGTGTCGAGACTCAAGGCTGTCAACGAGTTCAGCAGTCGACCGAACACTCGGTTGGTACTAGACGCGACTAATGAAGCAAGACTCGACTTCGATGAGGAACTACTGCCTGAAGACAGCTGGGAACCAGATCAAGTTGCCGGCGAATATGAAGTCGAGGCCATCCTCGACGACAGAACACCACTGACGACGAGCGCGGAGCGTGCTGTACGCGAGTTCAAAGTCAAGTGGGTGGGCTATGAAGATACAACTTGGGAACCATCATCAAACTTGTCATGTGGAGGTCTGCTGTACGACTATTTGCGAGCCAAGAAGAGCGAGAATCGGCTGCAGATGGCCGCAAGTGGCGGACGAAGACTAGCGTGACTGGATCACGTGTGAACTGTCCACAGGGCCGATGCAGCCTGTGG